CAGGATGTCAGAATCCAATTATATTTCATCTCTAGTTATCGACTATGAAAAACTCCATTTCTGCCCTCTCTGGATTCTGTCATATGATGAAAGGAAGGGGGGTGAACAAAGGGGTTTTATGGCCCTCACGTCCTTCAGTACAACTTCAAAGGGACTGAATGTGGATACCACCAAAAGGACTAATCATAACAATGGGGCCATCAGCTTTCATCTACTCCCCTCTGAAGTCTCCCTTCCACCGGCAGTGAGAAAAAGGGGGTGGAAATGTAACGCCTGGGATTGTCGCTGGAAGAATGGTGGGATGGTGGGTGGGGCTGCTGGGGACCCCTTAAACCTTGAACCGTAGGGCTTTGGCCCCAGGTCCTGTCTAGAACACCTGCAACCATTTTCTCTTAATAAAGATGAATAAAAGATCATTTTCATTACCAAGAAAATGATTACATGATTGACTACATGTATGTTTCACCATTTACATATATGTAAAGTTGTAGAAAATTCACAGCAAACAGGATTATGACAACCTCCCCTAATTGGCAATGTGAGCTATTTGCAAAAAAATATTTTTGGAAAGTTAAATATGCACACATTATAGTTCACAGAAGGAAATTTAAAAATGGAGGTAGATAGGTAGGTAGATAAATAGACAGACAGAGCAAATATTAGAAGCATTTCACTTCAAATATTGAAGATTCAGCAGTGAAGTAGTCCTTGGTACAAGGTGTTAAAAGTCCCATAGATACCAAATGTAGAAAGTTAGGCATGTATATAATAGTTCTTTTGAAGGTGGCTTAATTCCCTAATTTCCAATGTATGGTTTCTCTACTGCTATACTCTTGAAAATCATCTATATCATGAAGCTTAGATTAAAAGAGGTTGCACACTACTCCATCAGATACATTTCAAATTGCATTAAAATTAAGCTTACATTCAAATAAAAATTGTCCATATGAATATTTTTGAAAATTTATTTGGTGTCTATAGATGTATTGGTCTCTCACCAAACCAGCAGAATTGGATTACAAATTTGGAAGCAATGACCTCACTGGTCTGAATACTTCTGCCTTTATTTCTAGGTAAGAAAATAATATAGAAACATAGCTTGAGCAGAAATAAAAAAATATTCAAGGATACCAAAGTACAATAACAAAAGGAAAAAATTCTTATGACCCTGTTCCAATCAGGAAACACAAAAGAGATGATGGTGGGCAGATGCCTTTAAAGTCAGCAAGTATGCAATACCCTTCTGATTAAGTCTCAATAATAGTTCCATTTTAGGGGAATTTCTGACTATATGAGCTCTAAACCATATTACTGCTTTTTTGTGTTATTTCATGGATTTTGCCAAGACCAAAGAGGATGTTTATCTTCTTTTCTCCTAGGAATGGTTTGCATAGTACCAACTAACAATGACACAATCAGAAGATTAAGATGTATTTCTTTTCCAAGATTGAAGACGAAAAAGGCAATTCTATTTTATAGGCGCCCCCCACCCCAAAGGACAAGGCAAAACAAAGTATACAAAAATATAACTCTTTAGTGACAAAAATAAATGCTTGCTTGAGTCTGTGTTGCATAATCATTACACAGGGATATGAAGTTTTATTATAATATATCAAAGAGATACATATAATTATCCAATTCCTCCTTGCTAATCTTCTTGTAAAACTACTAGGATTACAATACATTTTTTCTAATTCCAAATGAAAAAAGGAAACAATAGTAACCTTTAGTGTACTTTCTGCTCAGGAAGGAAATATGAAGTCCTTGGGTGATTAGCTTTATTTTAAACTCCAAATTTAAATGTGCATAATGATCCTTTTACAGTGTGTATATTGTAGGCATATGCTTAAGTTTAGCTGGGAGAATGGTTATAAAAGATTTTTAGCAATTAACAACCAAAGCTAATTCAACTTATTTTGGTGGGCATGTTAGACTTGTAATTTGGTACAAGGAATAATCTTTTCTTAGTCAATTTCTTGGATCATTTTAATGAATAGCAATTCATTAAATAATGAGACTGGTACATGAAAATTGTCCTTTGGTTGATTATTATAGAGATGTATGAAATCATTAATTATTTACATTTTTCAGCCGGGGCAGCATATTCAGAGGGCTAGATATAGTTTTACATGTTCGAATCTTTCCAAATACTTAGTTACTTCTATTATTGCTGTTTATTTATAATTAAGAGCAGCATATTACAAGTTCAGTAGTATCCTTTTACCTTCATGTTTTGGTACTTCTGATGATACAGACCAATCAGCCTGATATCAATATCTGGGAAGGTCCTGAAAAAGAATCAAGCAACAGAACTGCGAACACCTAGAAGCGAGCAAAGTTATAACCAGAAGCTACCATGGGTTTGTCAAAAACAGATCATGCCAAAGAAATCTAATTTTATTCTTTGACAAAGTCATTAAATTAGTGGACCAGTAAAATGTAATGGACATAGTATACTTGAATTTCACTAAGAGATTTAACAAAGTAGAACACAACCTACCTCTTGGTAAGCTAAAAAAAAATTGGGATAGACAATATCACCATCAGAAGGATTTGTAACTGGCTGACAAATCACACTCAAAGTGTGGTCCTCAATGGAACTACATCTACATGGAAGGAAGTATGCAGTGGGGTACCCCAAGATTCCATTTTAGGCCCAGTACACTTCAATATCATCACAAACAACTTAGATGAGGGAATAGAAGGGGAATTCATCAAATTTGCAGACAACACTAAACTGGTAGGAATAGTCAACATTCCAGAAGATAGGCTCAAGATCCAGATGGATCTCAACAGACTTGAATACTGGGCCATATCTAACAAAATGAAATTCAATGGAGAGAAAAGTAAAGTTTTACACTTAGGCAAGAAAAACCAACTATATAGATACAGATTAGAACAAACGTGGCTCAATGCCAGCAACTATGAAAGGGATTGTGGAGTCCAAGTGGACAATCACTTAAATATGAGCCAACAGTGTGTGTCAGCAACCCAAAAAAAAAGCCAATGCAATGCTAGGTTGCATTAACACAGGGATAGACTCAAGATCACGTGAAGTATTATACTGCTTTATAAAGCCTTAGTAAGATCCACACTTACAATACTGTATCCAGTTTTGCTTACCATATTATAAAAAAAGGTGTAGAGGCTCTGGAAAGAGTGCAGAAAAGAGTAACACAGATGATTTGGGAGATGAAGGCTAAAACATAAAGAATAGTTGCTGGAATTGGGTATGTCTAGTTTAATGAAAAAAGGACTAGGACATGATACTGTATCAGTGTTTCAATATGTAAGGGATTGCCACAAAGAAGAGGAAGTCAAATCTATTCTCCAAAGCACCTGAAGGCAGGACAAGAAGCAATAGATAGAAACAAATCAAAGAGAGAAGCAACTTAGAACTAAGGAAAATTTCCTGACAGTTATAACAATTAATCAGTGGAACAACCTGCCTCCAGAAGTTATGAATGCTCCAACACCAGAAGTTTTTAAGAAGAGTTTGGACAACCATTTGTCTCAAATGGTATAGGGTTTCTTGCCTGAGCAGAGGGTTGGACTAGAAGACCTCCAAAGTTCCTTCAGACTCTGTTATTCTATTTTTTTTTTTTTATTTATTTATTTATAATATATAATACAAAAATACAAAAGAAAATAGTAGGAAAATAGGGGAGGAAATAGGGAAGGGAAAACTATGCAGCAAAGCGAAAAAAGAAAGAAAAGGCATTGACTTCTGACTCCTTTTGGTGCAATAGAGTAAGATAATAACATCAAACCTCAACGTTTTACTTTTACATAATAATATAAACTAGCCATTTCTATAATAACAAACTTATTAATCGGTAAAACCCAAAATCAAAGTTTCATTTTTTCCACCTGAAGCACAAAGTCCAGAAACGGTTTCCAAGTAGAAACAAAAGTAATTATATTTTTTCTTTGACCAAAGCAGTCAATTTAGCCATCTCTGCTAACTTCAACTTTTGTAACTATTCATCCATTGTAGGAATCAAAGTGTCCTTCCATTTTTGTGTGTAAAGTAATATTGCTGCCGTCAACATATATAATATCAAAGTACCATTTTTTTCTAAGTCTTTTTCCATTAAACCCAGAAGAAAAGTTTCTGATTTTATCTTTGTATCACTTTGAGAATCTTCTGTATTAAGATGTGAATTCCATTCCAATATTTCTTTGCTTTATCACATAGCCACCACAAATGATAAAAGGTCCCTTCTTTACATTTGCATTTCCAACATTCATTTGAAATACCTTTATACTTTCTTGACAACGTATCTGGTGATAAATACCAATGATACATCATCTTATAAAAGTTTACTCTTAAATTATAATTTAGTATAAATTTTAGACCTTTCATTCACATATTCTCCCATTGTTCAAGCATATTCAAAGTTTTTTGTCCATTGAGTCGTACAATGCTTTTCATATTCATTCTCCAAATTCAAATTCAATAACAATTTATAAGCCTTAGCAATAATATGTCAATCACTACCACTACCATAACTCTTTTTATCTAATTTAAATCTTTCTTTCAATTGTAAATATGTAAACCAATGGCAGACATGTCCTTCTGATTCTAGTCCTACATTAACACAAAGTCAGCTGAGTGACCTTGAGCCAATAGGTCTCTCTCTGCCCTAGGAAGCTAGTTGTAATGACTTGTTCAGGCAATTGCTAGGAGTCAACACTGACTCAAAGACATATTAAAAAAAAAAACCACACAAAAATCCAGTAAGTTGTTATGTTATGCTGTGTTATGTTTTCTTATGTTATATTTGAGATTCTTCTAGTATTGGAGTCAAAATATGACATTTATACTTTATTTCTTTTTTATTTCTTTTTTCTTTCCATTAAGATTGTTACCTTGGGCCACATTACATCTTCACTCCTATACATTTTCAGTGTTCTCAGCAACTAGCAACTTTGATCTTCTCTTTTATAAATGTCCAAAATATATCATTTTTTAAAAAGTATGTTGTACTTTGTTCTAGGAGAGAGGCACAACTGGATGAGGAAGGGCAGTTTCTGGTCAGAATTATTTATGATGATTCGAAAACATATGATTTGGTTGCTGCAGCAAGTAAAGTCCTCAGTGAGTAAATCTGGCTTTCTTTCAGCATTGCTTCTAAAGGATATGCAATTCAGCTAGTTAGGCCATTGCCTTCTGTAACTTGTTTTATGATATACATGATAGTTTACACATAGTACAAAAAAAGTTTTCTGGACTATTATTTTTCAATGACTTGACAATGGTATATGCAGTCATTCTTAGAATGTTTGAAATTAAGAGCAGACCTCAGGACTACTAAGGAACACTTTCTTTAGAACAGACATGTCAAACTTGCGATGTCATGTGACGTCGCGCAACGTATCAGGACTGTTTTGCCATTGCCGGCAATGGGGTGGGCACGGCTTCCGTGTGACGCATCCGGCCCACGGGCTGGCAGTTTGAACCCCTGCTTTAGAAGGTATATAGTGGCCTCAGAGGATCAATTTTCCTCTGAAGTGGTTAAGTTTATGTTCATATTCCTACATGCTATGATCTCAGTAAATATTAGTGTCCCCTTCACTGGCTGATTTCTGCCACTTAAATTTGTATGTATATGCATATCTACACACATAAACACAAACATGTCTAATACATGTGAGCATTTAACATCATATATAGTTTGCCCCAAATTGTTTTAAAACAAACTTATGAATTGTAGTTTGTTGAAATTAGAATTGTGTGAGATAGAATGCAAGATACTTATAGTATATGTGCTTCTCAACCAGTGGAGATATGGTACACAATGTATTTTGCATATCACTGTTATTCTTTATTATAAGTTTCAATTTAGAAGAACAAATGTACATCTGTTTATCAGAAATTTGGAAGATTTTGTTTCACACAATCCAATCCTTTGAACTTTGAGACAATTCTTGAAGCTCCTCTAAATGTGCTGGTTATTTAAGTTGAAATCTCTAAAATGCTTTAAGTTCTCATAAATATTTTAAAACTGGTTTTGAAAAGAAGTAATAGATATAGTGTGTCTTTCTACACTATAATTTGCTGATTTCCTTATGGTATTGGTTGACATTACTCATTTTATTATTTTGCTTAATCAGTACTGTACTATTATTTCTTCTTAGCAAAAAGCAACTTTCAAAAACAGAATTTTATTGTTTTGTTTGTTTATTTTGTAGACCTTAATGCTGGAGAAATCCTTCAAATGTTTGGGAAGATGTTTTTTGTGTTTTGCCAAGAATCTGGTTATGACACCATCTTACGTGTGTTGGGATCAAATGTTAGAGAGTTTTTACAAGTAAGTTAACTGAGACAAATCATCAATGGCTCTGTTCCAGGACAATTTAATTTGAACAGTGTGGTTTGCTGTGGTACTACGCACATTTATTTAAACACAACAATGTAATTTATAAAATCTCTGGATCCAGAAACGGAAATCCTTTCACTCTGGCTACTTTGCAGACAGTAACTTTTTATTTGCTATGACACTAGCCTTATCAAAAATAATGTCTTTTTTTTTAAAACAAGTTTTATTGATTCTTTCATTTTACAAACAAGTGCTTAAGAAACAACGTGGTGGCAGGGCAATCAATTGTCCACAAAACAAAGTCATATTCATAAAGTTTGAATTAAGTCATTAAAAGCCTCCTCTCTTTTCCCTCTAATGACATATTATATTCAAATTGATATATTACAATACAACTAAATCAATCATAGCAATCCTCAATAATCTTTCGTCTAATTAAATCTACAAATCCGAATCCTGTATTAAGTTTACCTATTTCACTTACTATGTTCCGTATTTCTAATCTAAATACCTAGTTAACACTTTGGGGGTCTCCCCATAACCTTTTTCCTTAACATGTTCACTAAGCATTTATTAATATCATTTCTTCCTTTTTCTTATTCCTCTTCCATTACAAATGACTATCAATTCTAATAAGAAAAGAAACTATTAATTCAAATCAGAAAGGAAAAAAAACAAAGAAAAAGAAAAAGAAACAGAGACAAAACAAAAAAAAAGAAAAGAGAAAAAATACCTTTCTATTTCTATTATTCTTTATAATCTAACAATCATTCCCTCAATATCTATATCAAATTTCTTTAACGTCCTCCCAAAATTACTGTATCCAAAACGTATTAATACATAGGCAAAACAAGTTATTATTAAGTTCAAACCTTAATTAGTTTTTTATTCAATCTAACCTCTTATTTAACTGTTTTAAGCCATAAATCAATCCATATCTAATAAGCCTTTTGAACCCATTACCTAAAACCTTAAGTCACATTCTTAAATCTTATTCTGGCTTTCCTTTTCTGCCAAACCGGTTTCCATAACAAGGCCTCTATATCAATGAACAAGTCACTCTTTATGCCTTGTAGAATCCTTTGAATCAAACAGAAACATCCTCTTTTCTGTTTTAGAGACCTAGCTCCTTTGTAAGTAGTCCCTTGTTGTTTTGAAAAGTCAAATCTCCACATTTGAAACTGTTGAATAGCCAGCTCAGTTATGTCCAACTTTGTAGATGATAGTTGTTTATCCAGACTACCATAGTTCTCAGCTCATTGTATTTGTCTGTCCATTTCTATTGGTTTTAAGATTGTAAGTGGATTACTTGCAATCCTTTTTGATTCCTCAGAAATCTCATCTGCATGCATATGAAATAGGATGAAATCTTCTTTACCTTTAGTTAGTCCCGCTTCTGTTGTTTTTTGGTCTCTAGAGTGGTCAGATAAGATCTGGGAGTCAATTTGTTGATTCAAAGCAGTGTTTCTGTTTTTTATTTCCATAGTAAATTCTTTTATTTGCAAACGTATTTCATCAGTAGCTTCGTAAAGTTTTTCCAGTATAAGTTTATAGTCAAGTTGAACCGAGGGTTGCTCCATTTCAACAATAATTAGAAACAGTCTGTATCATTTAGTAGAGGCTATGTTCAGAAAACATTTAATCATTGTCCACCCCCACCAGTACAGCTGTTAATTTTCTTTGTATTTTCCTTTTGTGGTAATCTGAAAGTCAAGGTCAATCTGAGCCCTCAGAAAAAAGGGAAGTTGCAATTTTAACTTTTTCCACAAGATGTCCTCGGTACAATATAAAATCTTCTCCCATAGACCAGGAATCTCATAAACAAGACCAGGAAACACAGAGAAAAAAAAGAATTCAAGTCCAATAGCAGATTCAAGAAAAAGTTTTCCAAGACCCTAAAGTGAAAAAAAAGAATAAAAATAGAGATAAAAAAGTCACTTTAAGTTAATTCAATCCATAGGCTTCTTTTTCCCACGCTCACCAACGCCGCCTTCTCAGAGCAGGGAAATAATTTCAAAAGTGCTTTTTACAGGCACAAAAAAAAAAAAAGAAAACCCAAGAGAGGGAAAGTAAAAAGTCTCACCCGGCTCAGCCACGGTGGTTCCTGTGCTTAGATGTTCTTCTGACTTCTGGTTTCAGCGGCTAGGTGAACGGCCATTTTACCGGCCGTTCTTTCCACCGTCGGCCCAAAAGAGCAATCTCGGTCCCTGGAAGAAGCTGCCACTCTCCCAAGGACGATGAGGACCTCCTCACCGGTAGCCGCCCCTCCAAGGCAGCTTTTCGACCCGATTAAGGGTCTACCGGTAGCGGAGAATCAGCTGGCGAAGAGAGCAGTCTCCTCGCGCAGTTGCGAGCGCCGCTATCCAGAACCGGAAGTCAAAATAATGTCTTGATAATTCACATTTAAGAACCAAAATAATACACACCAAACTTCAGTTTTTCTTGTAATTAGGAAATTAGTGGAAATTATAAGAAGAAACATATTCAAATAGCAGTCATCTAAAACAGGGCTTTTCAACCTTTTCACCCATTGTACCATTTTTAGAATAAGGCAACATCCGAGTACCACCACTCACCCAGTAAGGTGTCAAAAACTTGACCCCCCAAAAAGAAAAAAAAATGATAAAGTACAAGTAGTCCTCGACTTACAACAATTCGCTTAGTGACTGTTTGAAGTTACAATGGCACTGAAAAAAGTGACTTATGACCATTTTTCACACTTATGACTGTTGCAGCATCCCCAGGGTCATGTGATTTACATTCGGATGCTTGGCAACTGATTCATACTTATGACGTGCACAGTGTCCCAGGGTCATGTGATCACCTTTTGCAACTTTTTGACAAACAAAGTCAATGGCAGGGGGGGCATGGCCAGCTCATCACTCAGGTTGCAGGATGCCTGTGGGGGGGAATCCATGGGTCTCTGGTGGAGTGGGGTGGGACTGGGGTGGGTGCCCTCCTTCCCTCCCTCTCTCCCATTGTCCTTTCTTTCCTTTCTTCCCTCCTTCTTTGTCCCTTCCTCCTTCCCTCCCTCTCTTCCATTGTCCCTCCTCCCTCAGGTTGCAGGGTGCCTGTGGGGGGGAATCCATGGGTCTCTGGTGAAGGGGGGTGGGACTGGGATGGGTGCCTTCCTTCCCTCCCTCTCTCCCATTGTCCCTCCCTCCCTTCCTTCCTTCCCTCCCTCCCTCCCTCTGTGTCCCTTCCTCCTTCCCTCCCTCCCTTCCATTGTCCCTCCCTCCCTTAGGTTGCAGGGTGCCTGTGGGGGGGAATCCATGGGTCTCTGGTGAAGGGTGGGACTGGGGTGGGTGCCTTCCTTCCTTCCCTCTCTCCCATTGTTCCTTCTTTCCTTCCTTCCTTCCTTCCTTCCTTCCTTCCTTCCTTCCTTCCTTCCTTCCCTCCCTCTTTGTCCCTTCCTCTTTCCCTCCCTCCCTTCCATTTTCCGTCTCTCCCTCTTATTGTCCTTTCCTCCCTCCCTCCCTCCATCACTCAGTTTCAATTTCTTCGATGGTGGTTCCTTTGCTGAATCACTTTCCTTTTGTGGTCGCGCTCAGTGCAGCTGGGAGCCCAGCACAGCCACTGTTCTTCCATAGGGGGAGGACAGCGCAGGCAGCGGAGGAGCGCAGGGGGGCGGGGGAGCGCAGGCTGCCAGACTCCCTCTGGTGCGTTGCGCACAGAGAAAAGCAGCAAGGGGGGAAGCAGCTCATTCATTGCTACAGCCAGCCCTGAGGAAGAGCCCGCACAAACCGCTGGTGAATCCCGCCTGGCTGCATTCTTTGCGGCCAAAAAGACTTTGATCCCGCTTCTCCTTTGCTCTGGCTGGGTCCGTGAATGCCAGATCTAACCCCAGGGCAGTTCGAAAGGCCAGCAAGCTGGCTGGGGGTTTTGGGGTGGAGACATGTGAGCCTTCCTCCGTCTTCTTGAATCTGGCTTTGATCCCGCTTCCCCTTTGCTCCAGCCGGGTCCGTGAATGCCAGATTCAAGAAGACCTCCAGCAATTGGGATTTTTCCTCACTCATGTTCTCGGCTACATACAAGTATATGGAAGGACCCTCTCCAGTGAGGAGGCTAGAGTCAGGGTCGTCACCCTGGCTCTGGAAGGCGCCTTGGCCCGTTGGATGGTGACCCTGTTCAACTCCAATGCCCTGGAACTCCGCTTCATATCAGCCCTAAGAAGGCATTTCGAAGACCATCTGGCCGATCAGAAGACACAGGACTGCATAAAGATGGTGAAACAGGGACACTGCCCTGTAGCCGAATACACAGAGGACTTCCAGGACCTGGCATGTTGACTCAACTGGCCTGAGGACATCTTAGTGAGCTGCTTCCAGGACAGACTCAATGATGACCTATATAATGCCTGTATTGCCCGCAGAGCCCTGGTCTGCCTACATGACTGGTGCATCCTGGCTAAAGAAGCAGAGATCAACCAGAATCGCAATCCATATCAGTCAGATAAAATCTGGAAGAGATCTCCACCAGAAAAGAAAGGGGAGGCAATCAAACCTATAGTGGCTCAACCATGCTCAACTGCCTGCTTCAAATGTGGCAGGGAGGGCCATTGCACTCTGAAATGCCACACGAAAGCCCCAGCCAAGAAGGGAGAGCGGCTGTCTGGAGGGAGGGTAATGAAACCAACTCAATGCCCGAAAGATGCAATCCTGAAAACCGGGGAGGTTGTGGAGTTTCCCCCAATCCCAAAGTCAGGAGGGGGGACTCCAAACCCACAGGGAGACGAACTGGGGACACCTGAAAGTGACTACGATGATGACCCCTTGGCAAGTGGGCCAATTGCACTAATCACAATGCCCATAAAATTTTAATCTCGGGCAAGGAAGAAAAGGTGGCCCTAAATGCCCTACTAGACTCAGGCTGCACCAGGTGTCTAATTAGCCCAACCTTGGTAGGGAAACTAGGGGTCCAACTGAGGAGGCTAAGGAACCCCATTGCCTTCTGCCAACTCGATGGGTCCATCACAGGGGGCGTCTTGGTCA